AGGTACACGACTCTCATAACAGCACAGAGCTCTTTTCTGGAGTGTGAGCGACAACTTCTGCCTCGTACCTTGTTTTCAGTGGCATGCTTTTCCTTCTCAACCTTGGCCAACGTTAACTCCAGGTCATCTATATCTTTCTTCAGCTCTGAACATTCATCCTCCAGTTTCCTCTTCTTGGCTGTCAGCTCGGCATTAATTTCCTCCTCATCCTCAGCCCGTTCTGTCACCTCCTTAATTTTGGCTTCCAGCTGGATTTTGGTTTTGATGAGCTGGTCACATCTTTCCTCAGCATCTGCCAAAGCATCCGCTTCCTGAGGGGAAAGCAGTTTATTTTGAAAATGTCTGGCTTTAACACAGAAGAATAAAGGCTATTTAATTCTCAAGGAATAGATCTGGAAGACTCATATAATTTCTATTTGCAAAGGAGATATTGCGCAGTTACAATTTAAATTAGAAATTTTGAATAAGTTTTCAGTTAGCTTTATTTTTTCAGACCTTTTGCATCCCCAGTCACAGTGTTTAGTTCCTGTATGCCAGTAGGCTATTCGATTCATTTTATACTGTCCATTCAAATATGCCAGTAATTTACCACTTATCATAATTTTCCATTTTTCACCATTGTCACTTTCAAAGTTATGTGGATGTACTGAGAAATGAAAATACTTTTTCTTTGTTCATCCATCACTGAGAAAATATTTTTAAATTTCTGGTAATTTTTCTCATATACACTAAGAAGCTTTTTTTCTGTATACTGAAAATGTTTTTGAAATTAACATCACTAAATGAGTGCTTACATGAAAGCCAGATATGTGACTCTAAGAGACTGACACACAGCTGTTACACTTAGCAGACGCTAACTACCACTGATAGTTTTCTGAAACAAACACTTCAGCACAAAGATATTGTTTAAAAATGATCTTGGGGCCAAATGGCATTGTCACAAACTACAAGTATCATGGGATTTCCACATACATCTTCTGGGATCAGTAGCTCAGGAGATATGCCAAAAGAAATGGCACCAGGCTATTAACATGTATAACTTAACTAAGATGAAGTAGTTGTCAATGGAATGATTATCCCACTTAACTAAGCACAGAGCAGTGACAATTATGTTTTCTGCCATGAACATTATGAAGATGCTACATGTAGGATTTAAGATTGAAATTTGAATTTATTTTTGAGCTGAACCAACAGTTTTTAATAGTAACACTGACTGTGGAAAGGAAGTGGCCTGAATTTTACCCTCAGATACATGCTATTTGGCTTAAAAAATTTTACTAAAGCAGTACAGAATGTAGTTTCCTCTCTAGAAGAAGGCTTAAAACTTACTGAATGATTTCACTTAATAAAAATAAAAATAATAATAATGATGCTCACAGCCTGCACTTGGAGCTGCAGATCATTTTTCTCCTGCACCAGCTTCACCATTTTCTCCTCCAGCTCCTTCCTCTTGGCCTCAGACTTTGCAA